CACACCCGCAGCCGCACACCGAACCCCCCCTCGAAGTACTCAATTTTTTCTTGTTGCATGGTTTAGGAATGATGCGAATACGCGTTCAGCTCACCGAACAGTTCCGCTGCCCACCTCCAGGCCTCACCTACAGCCTCCAGCACAGGATGGGCAGGATAGGAAAGCTTGGGCCAACTTAGAGGTTTGAGTTAACAGCTGAAAGGGATGCTGACGAGTGGTCTCACTTGTGGCCTTGTTCTGCGCGACTGTGAGAGAGAGAGAGAGAGAGNNTAGCCCTGATGAAAGAAAGAGAGAGACTACGAAGTTCGGGGGCGCTAACGCGCGCGGTGCAGGGGGAAACCCCAGCACCACAGCCCTGGCGAAAGAAAGAAAGACTACGAAGTTCTTGATGTCCAGTGTACACATACATACATACATGCGTGCATGCATACGTACGTATACACACATGTCTCTCTCTCTATATACATATATACATATATCTATATATCAGATACAAGAAACAACGGAAACTATCATTAATGTTTGTATACGCTTACTCTGGACATCCTCAACTGCTGGGCGGAGGGACAAATTTTGACAGGATGCTGTACGGAGGATGAGTCGCTACTGGGCAGATGATGTCATGTTGCGACTCGCGAACTGTAGTCTCGGACCATTCCTTGAATATTCCCTGCATGCAAGTCTTCGCACATGCTATGGCCTAGTGTAGCTTTGCGGGTTTCGGGGTAAGGCCTCTCCATGGATCAGCTTCGTGAGAACTATGATGCGGTCCTTGCCAGCCCTTTGAAGCGCATGGAAAGCGCCTTGATTGGAAGCAGGTCTTCAAACCACAGTTGGATCAGCGATCAGTGCAGCAAGCGAAGGTTCGTGTGACTCGAGGTCAACACCTGGAGTAGAGTTAGTTCGGCTCATATTTCCAGTTGTTTCTGCTCAGTCCAGACTTGTGCATCTAAGGCACCGTTGTTGTTCGACAGCAGCGAACAGTGACAGATGCTACTGATACGCCATTGCCGAAAGTGGAAGCTTGGATTCGCCTGGGTTGTGACGAGACATGTCTTGTAATTCTTGAAGAATACAGTGCAGCATAGTATCATCAAAATCACATGTTTTGCTTCCGTGAACGGCTTACGGGCCTTACTGAGCAAAACAATCAAGTCGGTAAATCTAGCATAGAATAAATCAGGAACGCAGAAGCAAAGTAAATGCAAAGCAGTTCAACTTGAGAGAGGCCACAGCTCACCAAGGGATGGCTTCTGCTGGCGCTTTCGGGAATTATGGACGTCAGACCTGGCAGACTCTGGCAAGTGCTTTCGCATTGGCATGTGGTCGATGCCTCTTTGCTGGCAGCGGCACTCTGCTACCTGGGTGCAGCTGGGCTGCATCGGTTCCCGCTCGTCTGGGCTTCGCTGACCTGAGGACATGTCGCTTTGTAGGCGTGTGAGGATGTGTCAGTGAATTTGATGGGGAGCTTTCTCTTGTCTGGATCACTCCCCTACTACCTGTGCTTTGTGCGTATTGTTGATACAGTTTCGGTTGCCTAGTTTTGCCTCGTGATTTCCGTGTTGTGTCTGAACTGCAGAGCATCGTGACATTTCGAGGCCTACTCCAATCTTCATCATTTCCCTGCCATCACAACGGCATGTTACCTTTTGGGTGCCATGCCGCTTGTCCGGAATGTGTACGCTTTCGCGGAAGCTTCCCTGTTCCTCGCTGCTCACACCTGCCGTTGAAACCAAGGATTGCCATTTTGGGTGTGCGGCATGCAGGGATTACTGCAGCTGGCTTGAATGGATTGTTGCTGGTTAGCCTTTTCCAGCAGAATGCAGTGCCTTCTTGCCGCACCAGCAGTTCTCGCCGTGCGGCAGTTAAGGCCATGATCGGTCCTTACGAGCGGCGTCTGGATGAATATGCTGTGCCTGGCCTGTGGTTGTTGCCCTTGACTGGAACTCCAGCCCGAGGGATTGGAGTGCAGAGAGTTCGATGATGCCGCCAGGCGGATTATGGCTTCACGGAGGATTGGCGGCAATTGTCGAGGTATCGGCTAGCAGAGGCAGAGGGCGGGATTCCCACGGAGGGCCCGTTGCGCTTATTTCTGTTTGCTCTGGGAGGTGTTGGTGTTTTGGTGTCTGATGATGGCCTGCCGCATCCTCGCCGCCCTCTTGTCCTCCGAGGCCGTTGCTGGCGTGTTTCCAAAGGGAGAAAAGCACAGGCGCAGACTGGTGTAGTGGTAGTGGCGTGGCTATCGGGAAAGAGACAGGAATGACTTGACTGAATCAGTTTGAAAGGGTGCCCGGATGTCTTGAGTTGGGGTCAGGAGATTTTCGGCGCCGTTCCACTGTCATCTTTCGGCATGGGCATGGTGGTTTTGGTGGCCCACCTATTGCTCCTTTGCTTGTGTTTTCAGTGGGATGCTACAGATGTCGCAATGCCCGTGTAGGCACACACATAGCGTAACCAGTTTGGGAGCATTGAAGGCCAGGATCGCGGACCTTCTCGCATCCGCCCAAAGCACATTAGATAGGTCGGAGAGACGGGGCAATCTCCACAGCGCCACCACCTGTTGTCGAATACTAAGGATGTCATTGCGGCTCTCGGCGGTGCCTTGGAAGCTGTCACTTCGCTTTTCTGTTCGCTTGATGTTGGTGTCCAGTTGCTACTGCCACCTGCTGGGAAGAGTGATGGCACATTCCCGCGTTGACGGATGATTTGAGACACCTGTCCTGCACACTTGCTGAAAGTGTAGTCTCCCCTCCCCTCTCCTCCCCTCCCGTCAAACTGTTGGTTGGTTGTGATACGGCTGCAGACAGCTAATACTGGACAGATCAGTTACAAGAGCTTCCTTTTAGATAGCGGTGGGCACAGGGCCAGGTATCTTCTTCTCGATCAAACGACAACTCTGTGCATAACAGGGACCAGCCCAAGCTTTACGATAGGTTGTGCTGCTCGGGCATGGTTCCTGTGTCCAGCAGCAACAAACCCATCCAGCCGGTTCGGCAGGTATTCGGCATGTATGTGTGTCTGTGTCTGTTTGCACACTGGAAGTGCTGCAGGCAAGACGTGTCATGTTCGTGTAGGAACGCGGTTCCTGTCAATCGACACAGCAAGGTGTGCTACGCCCATTTCCACGTCTGCTCTGGGCTTGAGCTTGCGATCGACAACTTCTGCTTGCGTTTGTTCAAAGATCAAGACATGGAGGGGGCATTGAGCGAGTGGATGCTCGACTGCCTAGAAGACGTCGGGTCCTGAATAAAGCGTAAGCAAACAGTGTGTATATGTGGGTGTGTCTGAGTCTGAGAGACTTCGATTCGGTACAGAGTCTTCGCAGTCTTCACATGATGCGCTCTAGACTTGCCACCGGCAACACATGATCGACCGTGAAGTTGTCATCGTGCTCACTCCATTGAGTCAGCCACACCTTCGACCGTGCATGTCTCGCAACTGTTGCTGCCTCAGGAATGTACTGTCTGCAACTCTCAGGTGGGACAGAGCGGTGAAGTCTTTGCATATTAGGTATGTTCAGTCTTTGCAGCTCGGATCTTGGCTTGGCTTCCATATCGGCTCTGAGGATACTTTCTTACACTTACAGCCAGCCATGCAGGGTCCCGACTGCCCTGTGGCAGGCAAGCTTCTCAGAAGACATGCTGGTCGCTGCTGGCCCTTCGGAGACAATGCCAAGACTTTGCATGCTTCAGCATTAGCGTCAGTGTGCTGGCGTTTTGTGCGGGGTCCTTGAATCGAGAGTCTCTGAGAATTTGATATTCAGACACACCTCGGCTGCGGTTGTTTTCGAAGGGCACCCTCAGTGGGCCGATCCTGATAGCTCAGCAGGTACCAGTAGTTGCCGTCGGTATGAATTTTAACAAAACGACTCCAGGCACTGGGCGCTGCGTGCACAGCATCTCTTGTTCTGTTCGCCTCCCAGGCCGGGGTTGATTTGGGGCAGGGCGTCGCGAATCGGGGATGAGCATCAGCTGGTCTTGGGGACATGCAGTAGAGCAAAGTCCCGCCAAAGAGCTCAGCTGAGGTGGTGCAGATGCCTCAAATCCTTGGCAGTGCTTTCGACACCGCGCTGTGGCTTGGATGGCTCTATCCTCCGCTTCTGTTATTCCTTTACGTGCCTTGTCCGCATAATCGGATAGCAAAGTTTTGCGCTTTCGGAATTGAAGCTGGCGTTCGCCTTGGACTGTATCTAGCACAAAATCGGTGCACGTCGTGTTAGGTCTGAGGGAGGAGTCAGGGGCATGAAGCTTCAATGCAGATGCCGTGAAGCCATCTGTTTGAACGTCGCCGCTTAAGCTGTAGGTCTGGGGCATGGTTCAACTTAGTAGCAGCCAAAGGAGCTTGACAGAAATGACTTGGCGGTAGAACGAGCTTTCCTGCGTTAGCCTGTCAGTGATTTCGGCTTTTGAAGGCTATGTACCGAGCGGCGTCCGTCACAGAGAAGGCCATGCGAGTGGCACCTCTGGTGAACTCCTGGGAGTTTGAACCCGCCGAGGCAACTGGAAGTTCGTAGCAGGTTTTTCGAACAGATGCTGCTTCTTGGACGAGCCTTCGAGCACATGGACAGGGCTGTAAGAAGAAGTGACGATGTGCTTGCAATCCTGCTGACCTGCAGCCGTGCAACCTCTTATGCCGTGGTGCGAGAAGCAACCCTGTGCATGTGTGTAGGGTCAAGACTTGTAACGCAGATTCACTGCAAGTGCGTTACAGGTGGAAAGCTTCCTTTGCATTCTGAGCGTTCCGTTGCAAGTGTTGCTTGGAAGCCATACGTTTCGTGTTGTATTCTGCAGGAGAATGGCGAAACAGTTGCCTTGGATCCAGGAAGGCAGTACGTGGTTCAGTTCATCAACCAAAGCCTCCTGCCTGAGTGATAATATGGAGCTGCTTTCGTTTTGCGCATTTTGTTCTGTTCCTGAACAACGACCTGGCTTGCTCAGGTGAGGCCGGTTTCTACGTCTTCGGAGTGCGGATCTCTGCCTACATGGTTCAAAAACTGGCCTACTATTTCCTGGCGGTAACGGTCGGCCTGATCGCCAATCTGACACAGTGAGTTGATCGGGTGCGGACGTTGGGCTGAAGGACAACTTCAGTCAATTGACAGTGACGTCAATCCAAGACTTGGTCCACACTCTCCCTTTCATAATTTTCTTCTGTCTGCGTAGGCTGTATCGAGAGAGCTGCGACGATGAGGCATCGCAGCAAGTCCATCTTGGGAGATGGTGACCTGTTCGCAATGATGTTGCCAGCTAGTGCCAATCTACCAACCACCGGAAGCACTGTAATGAATGAGTTAGCACTGAAGCCGATCTTCCTCGTGCGCGAGTCAGTAGGCGCATAATGCACCTGCTGCTTGCAGGGAATTAGTACGAGGAAGTTGTGGCTACTTTCAGCAGAAAACCTCTCCCTGTGCATCTCCGATCTGGTCATGCTGTGGAACGAAGCTCATCATGAACACTGGCAGTGCCATTGTCACGGGTGCTTGGTGCTCTCCTCCTCCCCCTCCTCATCGTCATCTTTCAACCTTGCATCGACAATGAATGCTCGCATCGACGCTGAAGGCTTGTTATCGCTATCTCCGTAGCCTTCGGCACACGTCAGACTCCATCGAGCACACACGGGCCATCATCATCATCATCATCATCATCATCATCATCATCATCATCACCATCATTATCAGCATCATCATCAGCATCATCAGCATCATCAGCATCATCAGCATCATCAGCATTATCATCATCATCATCATCATCATCACCATCATTATCAGCATCATCATCAGCATCATCAGCATCATCAGCAGTATCGTCATCATCATCATCATCATCAACATCATCATCATCATCATCTTCTTCTTGACGGCCACCACCATCCATCAACATCGTGAGTACCTTTGCCTTGATGTCTCGTGTCCTCCCTCTCGTCACCGCTGCTGCTGCAGCTTCTGCCGCTGACGCAACAGCCGCAGAGAATGACGAGTAGAATGACGGGGATGGTGATGGTACTGATGAGGATTAATCAAACGCAGTATGACGATGCTTATGACTTATGGCTACTGTGATGAAAACTCGGACGGCGACGATGGTGATGATAGGGATGATGACGACCGTGATTGGGCTGGTCGCGGTGATGAGGAAGACGATGATGGAGATGGTGCTTCTGACGACGGCGATGATGAGGATGAGGATAAGGATGAGGATGAGGATGGAGACGGCCACATCAAGAAGGATTGTGAGGGCTGTGACGACAGAAAGACAAGAACGAGCGCAAAACGTGTGGTTGTGATGCTGATGGTGAATACGACGATTCTGGTGGTGGTGGTGGTGGCGGTGGTGGTGGCGGCGGTTGCCATTTGGGTTGTCATGCGGTGGTGATGGTGATGGTGGGCATAACTCAGAACAGTGACGAAGAAGAAGCTGATGATGATGATGATGATGATGAAAATGAGAAGAGTGCCCTTTCCGATTTGCGATCTTTGCCTTGTCGTCCTTGGCATCCTAACGAGTTGTCAGTGTATCCAACTTCATCAGCCCACAGCATGAGAGTCTCGCATATACTCCACTCTTTTGCGCCGGTCTGAAGACTTTGTCCTGGGATCGATCTGGGTCGTGTCCTGACAGAGTATATGAGCCGGAAAACCAGGACCAAACGGCCCTGAGTTGCGGGGCCACCGCCTTTCAGCGAAACAGCCTGCAGCCTGTAGTCAGCAGTCAGTAGTGGCTATAGTCTGCTTTTTGAGTCCGCCGTCTTCGAGGCCTGGGGTGTAAGGGTTGGGGCAGGTCAGGCAAATTTGCTGAAGGCTGCGGCTGTCCAACTTCGGTGCGAGGGGTAGGGAAGGAAGTCGGGGAAGGAGCGATCGCAGGCTGAGCAGCACATATTTTTACAGTTTTGGAGAGTGTGTCGGCTACTGTTGTTTTCGAAGGAATCTTTTGCCTGACTATGCATAATCCCATCATCCGATTTGAGGGCAAGCGTGCGTCTGCACGGGGTATACTATTTCCGTTCGAAAAGACGTTGCAGAATTCCATGCTTGCCATCTCCGTTCTTCAATTACATCGCAGCAGCGATGTCCTCGCCGGCATGGCCGTGGCTGGCATATCTGAGCTTTGACGGCTCTCTGATACAATGCACCGACCGAAGCAGCGGGTGCCCACCGAGGTTCGTGAGAGAACGGATCCGGTTGTTACGTAGCCCCTGTTAATCAGTACTTGTTACTTGGGCCTTCAAGTGAAGGTTCGTGTGCTAAGGTGAGGATGCAACTGCATCGGGTCATACAAGCATTGCTGGGAATCAGACAAGCATGACAAGATATCAGCGGCATTCTTTGTTTGTGTTCCACAAGCTTTCAACCTCAAGTGGCGTCGTGGGCGGCTTTGGAAAGCCCGAAGCATTTCACAGCAGTAGAATGTGCTCCGAAAGTCCGGAGTCTCAGGCGGGGATTTCAACAAAGGTTTCGATCTTCGGAGATTTCGGAAGGTTCAGACATTCTTGAGGGAAGCATGCATGTGTGACCTATGCATTGCAGACCTATACCTATGCGCTGTTGTGCAGCGCAACATGCAAAGAATGCTTATCCGTTGTGCCTTTAAAGGAGTTGCAAAGCAACTTGGACGACATAGAGATTCGGAGCTAAAGAGGCGCTTCTTCCTAGTGGGACTTGGAGCCTAAACCTGCAACATGTCATTTGGCCGGGCAGATCCACAGTGTCCCAGCAGCCAGGTTCACAAGCCAGTCGTCATGAATGTGCAGTGCGGCCGCAGCCCGAGACTCCATTGGATGCGTCCCTTCCCGATGTGGGTCTTGGCAAAGGTGATGAGGGTGTCCAGGTGAGAACTCGAGTTTCGAACCCGGAAATTGAGACTCGAACGCACCGCGCTCCCACACAAAAGCTCGGAAGCATCAAAGCAGTTAAGGGCAAGATGTGTAGTGCCTTGGCTCTTTGGGGACTCCTTCTCCAATAATTAAGACCATGACTTTCGAGGCACAAGTTTTTGCAGTTGCTGCTTCTGGTCGCTTCTGTGCCTCAAGCTGCGGCTCATAGCCAAGACCGCCACGGGGCTACCGGCACTCCGGGAGCCTCTGTGCACATCAAAACTGGACCTGTCGAGATTTCGGTAGGCAGGCAGCATGTCAGGGATTCGCCCATAGCTTCCGCTGAATCTCACACGCAGCATTGTTGGGCACACGGGACACGACGGCGGTTTCTTGTTTCGATGGATTCGACAATTACGGTCTTGCTATGAGCTGCGTCCCCAACGCTTTGCATGGAGGCCGGCTGCCTGTGCCTTCGTAGTATGGGCTGAGGGTCAAGTCGGCCATCGCGAGGTGACCAGGCGGGCCTCCGCCCCCGATGCCCGCAATGCAGCGCGGTTGCTGCGACGCACGCCTCCGAAGGAGGGGATACAGGAAGGGTTCTGCTGGCTTGCGGCGTTGGTGTCCGCTATCGGGACCACCATTTGTGCAGATTTGTTGGTTTTCCCAGCATGTTTGGTTTCAGAAAGGGTGCAGCCCGACGACGCTGGTGATTTCTTGACAGACATTGAAACTGTTGCGTCGTTCAGGCTGGCTTGGAAACACTTCGGGCAGCTCGGCAAAAAATAAGCTGAATGCCGGAGGTTCTGGGTCTAGGATGGCACAGCCGGCGCGGCCTGCGAGCAGTCTTTGGGGACAGCTAGCCGTTCATGCTTCCTGATTCCGAAGAACATGCTGCTCCGAGGAGCTATGCGGGCAGCGGTTGGAGGCCAATGCCTTCCACGCTGGAGCACTTCTGGGAGCCTGTGCCCAGGCACCGTGCCTGCCACTCCATCCAACCCAAGTCGTAATTGATGTTCTCGTGGGTCGCATCTTGCGGTGTTGCCATCTTTCAAGCATGTTGCACTCGTGCCATCCCGTCGCTCCACTTCTCGCCGGAAAACGTTGCTTTGTTCTTCAATGCAGCTCTGTGTGACATCGTGACACAGACTTCTTGTGAACCTGTTGCTGTATCGATGTTTGTTGGTTTTAGAGTTTGGTTTGGGGTTTAGGGTCGACGCCGTTTGCCTCGGCAGCGTCCGCAAAGATCTGCCCAGAAGCGGTCGCTACTGAAAGTATGCTCCATCGCTGCCGCTGCAGGCCTTCGCCTGGGAGCACGCTCTGTCGATGTTGCAAACTCTTCCAGGCAGGTGTGTGACAGCTGGGAAACTGCCACCAGCTTTCCCAAGAATAAGGCAGCATCGATGAGCCAGGGGAACCCTGGGGTGCAAAAACACCAAGCAAGAAGGTGTTCTTGACTTGTTGCAAGGCGCAGCCCTGTTTCCAGACGATGTCGCCTTCGCTTCGGCCATTGCGGCCTGCGGCCGCAGCCTGCGCTGGGCCCTGGCTTTGGCGCCTGGAGCAGCATAGCAACAAAGCAAAAAGTTGAGCAGTGACAGAAGCCGTGGAGAAGCATGATCGTGACGGACTTCACTTTTTCTCATGTTCAGCAGTTCGGCACATGTCGTAGGCGTGAAGTCATTGGGGCCTACGGCCAAGGTTGTCCTTACAGATTCTTTCGAACTGCACATCGCTTCACAGGCGCAAAGTGATAGAGTGCAGAAATGTGTGCATCAGAGTTGAGATCCTGGCCTCTGCATTTCGGTTGTAGGTTTCCTGTCTGGTTTGATGTGGGAGTGGCTTGGACCGACGCGAGTGAGAGTGTAGGAAGTTGAAACTGATGTCCTCCTGTTGGTCTTCACGGTTCGCCTGTGCGGCTTAAGTCGCAGAAGGGATGTCCAAAATTATATCGGCTTGCCATGACCGGACCTGAATCACAGATACGACACCCGCGCACGCGCAGGCGGGTGTGGGTGCCGCCATCGCAGCAGCAGCTGGAGTGGGCGAATGGCAGGCATGTCTGTAGCGGCTTGTGGACTTACATTTTCCCCAACGGAGCGTGTGACTTTGTTTAGTAGTGGTGCCAACCTAGAATGAACATGGAATGTGACACCATCACGGGCGATTCCGACCCATTTCAATTCGGAACGGTTTCGCTCTTCGAAGGTGGCACTGTCTCTGCTCGCTCAGCTGGAAGCGCACAAGATGCAGCCTGATGTTATGAGCAGCTCAGATGACTGGACTGTAATATGCTGCACGGCATCTCGTTCGCGAGAGAGAGAGAGAGAGAGAGAGTCAGAGCCCATAACATGCGTGGGGCGACTGAAGAGCGGGGAGAGGGGGTTGGCCCCCCCTTGATCTACCTTGGTGAGTGAGAGAGAGAGAGAGAGAGAGAGAGAGAGAGACAGAGAGAGAGTGTGCGCGCTCGCGCGCGGGGAGGGCGGGGACCCGCTTTCCTCTAGCTGTGCTGAAGAAGAGAGAGAGAGCAATCCTGTTGCCCTAACACTGGCGAAAAAAGAGAGAGTTCCACTTTTGCCTTATATCGGGGAGCTGTTTGCAGTGGATGTACTGTACCTTCCGTTCAAATACGCTCTGCCCAGTCATCTCCCGCAAACCGGGGCACAGCCCTTCCTTTTCCTTGAATAACCCCGTACTGGTACGATTCTGCCTCTATTGATACTCGCATTCTTTCGATTACTTTGGTTTGCTGTTTCCTTTCAGTTGTATTTCCTCGCAAGGCAGATGCAGTACCCTTGTTGGAGTGCGCCTAATTCATTAGAATGCGCTCCGCAACAGTCGGGGGCGCTAACACGCGCGGGCAAGGGGGTCTTTCCCCCTGTCCCTGGCCGTGGCGAAAGAAAGAGCGAGAGAGAGAGAGTGAGAGAGAGCCATAAAACAACGGGTGGTTGGGCGGGCCAATGGCCCCAGCAGAAAGAAAGAAAGAGAGAGAGAGAGAGAGAGATTTTGGCGGGTGAGGGGCTCTGTCCCCTCTCCCTTATCCCTTGCGAAAGAAAGAAAAGAGATTTTGGCTATCCTTCTGAGGCCTGTTTGCCTCGTTTGCATTGTCCACTCTTGGCACCCGCAACAGTCGGGGGCGCTGATGCTCGCGGTGTAGGGGGTAACCCCTGCACCACAGCCCTGGCGAAAGAAAAGAGATTGTGGCTCTGATTGTGTTGACCCCAGTGCGAAGCTGTTGACAAAGGGTCGAGCCCTTACCTCTGGCGATCACTGGAGCTGAAGCATCCTCAGTTTTTGCAACTGTTGGTCGATTTCATGTCTGCTTTTGCTGACCCAGTCACAGCCCAGCTAATCACCAAGTGCTGGCATGCGAGTAGGGTAGCAGCACAAGGTCGAAACAAAGGACCACTTTATTGCCATGAGTTTACTGCTGTGTCCTATTTGCTCTACAATAGTTTCGACCTAGCACATGGTTATCCAAGGCGGTCTCACACTGCAAGCCGAAAGCGGACCCGGTAGGTCGGTGTCTTTATTGCTTGAGTGGAGTTGCCATGTTTGCTATTAATTTTTCAGATGCCCGCTTTTGGCCGTGGACCGCTGAGCCCAAGACATGAAGCTCTGCCACACAAGGTGCGGAAATGTTGCCGTTATGAATTGATCGTTTTTTCCGGGTGGCGCGCAAGGCTGATTGCCCACCTCGCACCTGGAAGAGCTTCGGGGGCAAACCCCGCGACGTCGACATTAACCCGCAGTGTTGTAAACTTCATTAGCGGCTATTTCTTGGTTGCTGTTGCAAGCGGGCGAATGGCATTTGCCTTTGAGTGTGAGTGAAACTCGCACCCGCAACAGTCGGGGGCGCACCAGCGCGCGGTGTATGGGGGCAACCCCCTACACCCTAACCCTGACGAAAGAAAAAAAGAAAGATTTTGGTTCAAGTGTCCGCACCTTTGTTCTTGGGGGCCTGTTACGCCTCCTTGGTATCGGGGCACGGGGTTGACCTCAGGTTGTGTTCTCCGGGGAGCCTGCGTGCCTGCTCCCAAGCGGCGCTTGAGTCCAGGGCCGACGCGGTTTTGCTTCAGAGGCCCCTTTGCGCAAAAGCCGTGGAACCTGACCGCGGCCTTGGGGTGGCCACCATAGGGGGAAGAGGCATACTACATCACTGCGGAACGGGGGACATCAGCCCGTACTACCTGTACCTTAGGCCTTGACCTCGACAATGGCAGGTTCTTCGGCAGGCCCCAGCAAAGGGGCAGAGAGGGGGACAAAACAAATTCAAGCCTCAGCGTGACCCCTCGGCCAAACCGGCGACGGTCAACACCACGTGGGAACAGTTGTGCAAACTCGCAGAGAGGGTTCGTGGCATAGGGATGTCCTGCAAAGCATGCCTACAAGGGCCCGTTTGCCACAAATCCCACGACAGCGGGGACACGTGCTACAAGTACAAGGTGGCCACAGGGCAGCTTACTAGCACGGGTCGACTGTGTGACCTCCGCAAAAAGGTGGACGAGGACGAAGCCAATTGGGACAGACTGCGAGAGATTGAGCGTGCTGAAGGTGGGCTCGGAGCAAAAGACCAAACGCAGTGATGTCTTGGGTCCAAAAGACAAAAAAGAGAACGACGCAGAACACGACGATGTGTAAGATTCCGAGTTCGAAGGTTTCGAAAATGCCAAACACTTTTGCGTGTGGCGGTTTGTTCACCGCCTCCTCTCTCGGCATGCCCGCATACTCAGGCTACACACAGGCCCTCAGTGCCTTCGAGGGTTCCAGCTGCTGGCAGAAGGCTGGAAGTAGTTCCTCATGCACGTTTTAGCAGAAAATGAGCGAGGAGTACTTCTGAGATCCAATTCTGTTTTCGGTGGTCATTGACCGGCCTTCCCACCCTTGGAAGGCCTTGTCCTTGCTCTTTGAAGCTGATGAGCTTGGGATGGCCAATGAGAAAAGTGCCTCAGTCTTTCAGGAGTTTTCCAGGAGGCTTTGCTCGTTCGATTGAGGCATTGAGGTTGGTTTGTAGTCTGGAAGCTTGAGCCAAAGTGACTCGAGGTTGGCTGAACTGTCACTGCCTGAGTTCATCTGCCATGCAAGGTTACACTGCCTCCATGCGTGCGTGTACGGACCAATGGCAGTGGTCCCTGGCCCTGTTCAGAAGGCTGCCCTGCCCTGACAGGCATCACGGCACGATTAGTGGACTCGCGTTAGCACTGTGCACAGACGAATTCTGGGAATGAAAAGCATGCGGTCTGCAGCCAGTTTGCCACAGCATCGCGGTGGCATGTTCGACAGCCCGATGTGCCTCAGACGGAGCCTATTATGATTTTGGCGGAAGGCGAGCCTTCAACGTGGCATTAAACTCCTGTGCGAAGGCCTTGAAGCGTGAGGCCAGCAGTCGCAGAGCTTGAGCTTGAGCTCGAAGTCGGGGGTTGCTGTCGTACTTGCAGTCTGCACGTGCCATCAAGCAGAATTCCTTTGACTCGTCGTGGCTCGAATTGCAGTACGACGGTTCACGCTCCATTTCCATCAGCCCTGAAACAGCAAAAATGGTCAAGATCGCTTAAAACTGTCTCGCTGCATCAAGGAACAGTCCGGAAGGAAGAAGTGTAACCCGGAAGGTGGCCCTCGTGCTCCTCCGTCAGATCCCGGAAGCGGATGCCGTCAGCTCCTTGCTTTGGCTTCATCGCCGTCGGATTTCTTATCCCAGCAGCCAAGGCGGTGGCCGAATGCTCGACACAAAGTTTTGTGTCGTGTAACGCTGCGTTCTTGCATGCCCTTAGGCCCAGCGGACTCCCTAATCGTTTGGGTTGCGTAAGCTTCCGAGGCTACAACTCTGCCTTGGCTGCATGCGGCGATGACTGGATTCAGGTCTTCGGAGCATATCCGTTCGACTTACGCGTTCCTAAAGCAGTCTCGAGGTTTGTTTCGTCCTGTGTTCCACGCATCGGCGATTTGTGCTGCAAAGCACAGGCCTTGCAACTGCTGGACGAGCTGAGCAGCCGTGCGGACGGCATGTGGCATTGGGCAAACTACTAACTTGTGCTACTCTCCGGGGATCGAAGTGCACTGGTGAAGGCAGGGCAACCTGAAAGCACCAAGGCGGCAAGTACACGTGGCCGATCAGAACTACTTCAAACTAGCACTGGCGCGGTTGTTGGTATCAACATGGGCTCGCGACTGCATGCGCATGTTGCAAAGGCGAATCTGCTCGGGCACAATGAGAATCTCAAACCTTTCATTCAGCGTGCAGGACATGATCAGCTACAATGCGGTCCTCGCGGCTTGTGAGGCCTTCGCTTGAACATGGAGTTGGGAAAAGGATCCAGGGCATTTGGCCTTATGGTTTTCTTTCAGTTTTTTTTGTTAGGGTGATGCCTCATCCCCTCCGCTGTGAAGTCAAGGAGCCTGTACGAGGATAACCCACGCCACATCTCACAGCCGAAAGCCCATGGAGCAGTGATTAACCCGCAACATCTTCTCTACCAAGCTGGCCGTGTCCAGGCAGCAGGGGTTTGGCCTGTGGCATTGAATCTTCTGGGGTGTCTGGGCAGCAAGCTTTGAGCGCGGTGAGTGCTTGGTGCTTGGGACATGCCAACCTAGCCCGTGCAGTCGGGGCATTCCTTCGTGCTCACGTGCAGGCAAATGAGAGAGGCCTTCCTGGAGCCGGACTGGTGGCCTTGGATTCTGAGAGCTCAAAGGCTGCCAGAACGATGCTAAGACTGGGCTGGTCTGTGCAACGCGCAGGACTCACTGAGCTGCCGTGCGGCCATGGGCGCCTGTGCCTCGGCAGCCGCCTGGCGTCGAGCCCTGGCGAAGCTGGGCTCGCACGGGAAGACATTTCTTTTGCTTTGTTAGTGGATGGCAAGAGGTGCACGTCGGCCAGCAAAAAGTGGACAAATAATCGGGAAGGTGCATCTCTGTCTGTAATTTATGTAACGATGCACGACACACACACACACACACCAATACAAATGCACACAGCTGAGCAGCAAGTTTTTAGAGTGCATGAAGAGAAATCCTACAGACAAAACAATGTTGAACATATTGCAACATAGCCCAAGACAATATAGCACAGTTTTCTGTAAGAGGATAGAAATAAGGTATAGTAATAAGGTATAGTAGTATAGTATAGTATAGTATGGTATAGTATCGTATAGTGTAGTACAGCATAATATAGCCGACACTATGCATTAGATGTATCATGTTCAGTCCCTCTGTCAACTTCCCGAGGCTAGCCCCACGAGCTCCGGATGCTGTGGACCATTTCATGTGCAGCTTGGCGGAACAAGGGTTTCGGGCTCAAGGTATTCCTATTATTATTGTTATTATTGCTACAATTCTTCTGATTATGTTCATAGTGCTGATTAGAATGTTTTTCGTCTTCTTATTCTTCTATCACTCGTATCTTTTTCTTTTGTAACTAGCATCAATATCATTAGGCATACCATTTCGTTACCACTTTGTTGATGTGATCTGCGGATCGGCGGATCCACAGACCGAAGGCCGAGGGGTCCGGGACTTGGTCAAAAGATAAATCATCTGAGTAAGCTGTACTATACTATACCGTACTATACTATACTATACTATGCTATACTATACTATACTATGCTATGCTATACTGTGAAAGAAGGCAAAAACATCATCTAGCTCAGCTCTACAGAGGCGCTGCGTGCTGCCGTGCACTCGGTGCTGGCCTACGGTGGTCCGAGGCAGGGCTGATGCCCAACACCCTGTTGAAGACACCATGCAAATCCGGTCATGCAATGTTACGCGTCTAAGAATCTAGCATGGAAGACACGCGGACAGGCGTTGGACTTGATTCAGCCGGGGACCTAGATTTGCACGATTGGTTCTGGCAGCTTCTCGGCGCCGAGCGCCCAGACTTTCGGAATTCGATGCTGGAAGCTGCGAGTTTACCCGTACGAGAGCAAACTGTGACGCTTACGAAAGTTGAGAAGACTTTGTCTTTTCCAGGTCGCCGGGAGTGGCACTCAGTGAGGCGGCTCGGCGCTTCATGGTTTGGGCTCTGCCGCAAGCAGAAAACTCTTCAAGTCCCCACTGCAGTGTGGGTTGACGGGTTTCAGGGTCGCCGTCGCTTCCATGACCCACGGGACTGCGAGCTGTGTCAAGCTGAGGTGGCCCTCAGCTGCACCATTCGCGCTGCCGGGGCAGCCCACCGCTGGCAGGCTCGGACTGCTCGCGGACTGCGTGGGTGTTTTGGTCACTGAATGACAGTGGCATGGCTGTGGAGATCACGCTGATGATGATGATGATGATGATGATGATGATGATGATTATGATGATTATGATTATGATTGTGATGATGATGATGCGGTCGCCTGGCTGCTGGCGCTGATGATGTCGGCATTGATGATGGCAATGGCCATGGCATGTCTATGGCTATGGTCATGGCCATGGCGATGGCGATGGCGATAGCAAAACCTGTGATAATGACATTGGTGGTGCAGACGATCACGGTGATGCTGCTGCTCTGGTGTTGGTGATGGTACTGCTGATGCCCAAGCCATGTCAAGCGACGCCAACGAGCAACTCTGTGGTGGCTGTACCACAACTGATACCATTTGGAAGCCCGTCCTCATGCGACTGACCCCGCAAGTCAACGCAGTCAGCAGGTCGCGACAAGGCTTTTGCATCAGATGGAGGCGACGGGCTTTCAGCGGATGATTGTGCTCCAAGGGTCATTCTGAAGAACATTCGAATGGCTCTTGGTCTTGTGCGGCTCTTGTCCAGTCCTACTGGCAGCTTGAGATGAAGTGAACGAAGTGCGACTCCAGCTGTGCCAATCGTAGTTTTTCACACCCAACGCAGCCCAGCTTTCCAGACATTTAGCTGTGGACATATCCAAGATCCAGGATCTCTCCGTGGAGAGCAACGCCTTTAGCTTCTCGGCTGCGATCGATGCCTGCGCCAAAGCTTCACAGTGGCTTGCCCGCAACACGGAGGCAGATCGGCGACTTGCGCAATGCTCAGCTCTAAACGGAAACTCACATGAGGTGGCTGCAGGCAGTGGGCATCTTCATGTCGTCACCCGGCTTTTTCCGAGACCGCATCCACACGGGTGAGCAGTACCTTCAGTTCTCGATGAAGCCCTCATGCACAGAGGATGCCGGCTACCTCCACCCGGTGCAGTGAAGTTTGTTCTTCAGCCGCATCTAGCAGCAGAGCCTGGGCATCGAATCTGCGGAGCTTGCAAGCACTAAGGAGAGCCTTGAGCCCTTGAAGTCCCGAATCTTCGAGATCTGGACAGGTCTGAATGCGGCGCTTGCTGCCTGCCAGAGGGCCAGTCGTTGGCGCCAGGCAGGGTTGATTATTCCCAAGACCATTCGGTCGTTAGAGGCTGCTTCCAAACCCACTACTAAAGTCAAGAACAGCAGGCACAGCCGCAAGACTTTCAGCTGGCACAGGCTTCTGGTACCGCTGGAACTGGGCTTGTAGTGTTTATAAAGCACTACTTGCCATGGAGTGCTTGCTGCAATTGTCTGCTGTCCAATGATTCGCAGCTCTTCTAGCACGCGAGACCTGTTCGAAGGCTTTAGCACTGGGCGCATGGGCGGAAGGGCAAGACGTCGCGGTGGACTGGGTGGCGGAATGTCAGGTAAGAACTTTCTGGCATCCGAGGTCTTGTGTTATGTCCTGTCGCCAAAGCCTGTGAATTGAGTCACGACCTGCTTCATCGTGCATCCTGAACCCTCGAAACAGCCCGAAATGAGAAAATCAACGTGCGCACCACTGAGAAATATCATTGAATCCAAAACACCTTCAAAACATAGAAAAGCACCTGTGAAATACAGTTAGAATTAGAAAAAGAAACTATATCGTGGACCCGAACACATAAAATCAATAATCCCTGACTAACCCGATGGACTTGTTGAGTTTAGTGGTGAGGCGGATGGCGTTCTGGGCCTGCATCATGTCCTGGGTTGGCCGGTTCACTGGAGCTTCGGATCTGCCTGTTCCAATTTGTTCCTGAGATGAAACTTTGTTAGTATCGCCTCAATGTCCGACTCCCGCATCGCAAAGGCGTCCTGTAGCTCCGCTCCGCAGGACGATGCTGGCCACCACATCTTGCTCTGTGCACTCGAGGCCGAGCAGAAAATGACAACGGCCTGGCGTTGACTCCTCGATGGCCGTTGCTCGATGACCCTGGTACCAGAGCATGATGCTCCAGCTTTGAGGGTCGAAGGGGCCGTGGCATAACACAGTTTTTTGGAGTGATTTCTGCCAGGCCGTGGGACACTGGGCCGCGGCTTTGGCACTGCTGACTAGTCGCCAGCCGGCAGCGTGGCTTGGCGCAGCTTCTTTCGGGAATGTATAGTTTTCGATTTTGTTTGCATTATTTCCTGCTGTTTTGCTTCGCAACAAAGTATGTCATGTCAGCACAGCACCAACTAGCTCAAGCAGGCAATGCATTTTGATGCTTAGCGTGTGCATAGAAAGGAATTTACGTGCATACAAACAAGCAAGCTGACCTGCTTGATTTTCTACATGTTCGTCTACGCGGGGCATTTCCTTATTTACTGATTATTGAGTTCCAACCATACTTGTACCCACCTCCGTGCCTGCCTGCCAACCCGTGCATTGTAGACTTGACTTGATGTCTTGCTCATTGGCTTGTTTGCATGAGGGCCTCACTGACTTGTCGTGTCTCCCAATCTTCGTGAAAGCAGAGCGCTTTCGCTTCTCCCGTTCCAGCATGAAAGCTGAAGGCCTGCTGCTGCTGATGCAGCCACGCTGGCCGCCTGCCGAGCACTGCGCTGGCAGGAGGCCGAATTTCATTCTCATCGCCACAATTTCCCGACCCGAACTGCGTGCTATTTAGCAGGCTCTGATACTTGGGCATGCTGCTTTGAAGAAGCCCCAGCCGGGACGACGCGGAGAGGCACCCTCACACGTCTGATTCTTTTTTTGCAGTGACTGGATTGGTGCACAGTGTAGCAGGTTTTGGGTGCACTGGCTTGCCTTTGTGAAGAGCAAGGCGGGCAATCCTTTTTCATCAGGCACACGCAGGGCCGCAGTCGCACCGAGTCCAGCTGCATGTCGACAGCTGCAGTTGCTGTGAACCGAAGACTGAACGCGTGCTTGTTCGCCTTGTGGAAGACTGATTCACTGTGTTCATCCTCGTCCAGGGCACCCTGCTGGGCAGCAGCTCTTCCAGGATCTTGCCAAGGCAGCGCACGCGAGCTGCATGGCTGGAGAAAGTGAGTTGGGAACATGGCAAGTGGTTTTCGGCGGGCCCCGTAATGGTTGTTATGCGGTACCGCGGACCGCGGCCGTTACCCCGTCCGAGGCTGTTCAGATCATAGTTGGGCCTAGCCCGAATTGCGGGGCGAGCCACACCCAGCTCAACGCATCCCACCCGTCTGCCGAGGTGGCCTCCGGGGACTCAGCCAGGCCAGGCGGATCCCAGAGCCGTCAGACACATCGATGGAAGGAAAGCTGGAAATTGGCATCGAGAGGTCGGCAGCCAGAAGACAGGAAACAACAGATGCGAGAACCTGTACACGTGCAAAACAAGCAACAACCCGACATAACAAGCGAATGACACCTGCATGAGGCACTGACACTTGCACGAACATGCGTACGTGGATGCCTACATCTATATCTATATCTATCTATCTATCTATATATATATATATATAATACACGTGCGCACGCACATATCTATATGTATATCTATATGTATATCTATCTATCTATCTATCTATCTACCTACCTACCTACCTATCTATCTATCTATCTATCTATCTATCTATCTATCTAATCATATATCTAATTATATATATATATATATGGTATATATATATATATATATATCTTTATGTATGTATGTATGCATGCCATGTATACAGACGTACCTGCATACATTTGTATAGTCACGCGCTGGCACCATGACGCACATCACTCTTGTTTCGTCCCACCTCGACATTCGTGTGCGCACACACGAGAGCAGCTCCCAAACAGAGCCGTCTCTTTGCACTAGCCACACTGTCATGATGCTGTGGCCAAACTGGGCAGGCCTTGGCCACGGCATCGAGCTGGAAGAGAGACGACTCTTGGCCTGAACCACGTGACTTACATTGGCTTCCAGAGCCGCAGAGCACTGCACAGCCCTTTGGCCTCTAAGTGGACACCCCTGGATGTCGCGGCGAAGCTGCGTGGTATGTTGGGCGCTGGCTCCGTCACTGGAAGGTCTTCGCGACAAGGGTTCGGGCTGAGCCCCGGATTTTTGAGGGCAGGCTTAAGAGATCTCCTGCATGTCCAGCCCTAAAGATCCGGTCGTCTAGGACCAGACAACATAAGCTGTCAGGCCGAAGCTTTCTGCATGTTCCAGTGTCGTTTTCTGTATTACTCGGTATTGACAAGAAGTAGAGGACACCATGTATGATTGCGATCCCTTCGTCCACGCCGCATCCTGCGCTGGCCCGGCAAACTCATGCGCTCGAATGAAGAACATGGCAGGCTACCCTACCAGAAGGAAGTGGCGCTGCTGAGGCCAGAGTGCACGACAATCTAAGAAAAGTTCATTCATTTCACTGCAAGCCAGGAAGGTGGTGGAACAGGCCAATCCGGGGGATGCAGCTTCTGTTGTGCATCAGATGGAATGCTGCTGGGCCGAAAGTCTTGGGCTGGCTGGCAATATTGAGGGAGTCCGGCAGTCGTTGTGTAGCCCGGGGTCGAAATTGCAAAGGAAAGTGGGGTCTGCACATTCGTGTCCCCAAACAGTATCGCATGCAGTTTGGGGTTCTTACGCTAGGTGTAAGGTAAAGAAGTGATTCCAATCGTGTGCGTGGCCCGCTCCGGCTCGGTCATTCGGATATGCGACTCATTCTCGCCAGTACTTGAAGTATTCCCGCAGTACTTGAAGTATCATGGGACTCGGTAAGTAACTAGCATATTAATAAGCTAGCCATGCGGATAAATGTGCATGTCCCCAAGTAGGGGACTTATCGTACCCTGCTTACTAACTCCCATGATCTTCCAAACGCAAAGGGGGGTTTTGCATGTCTCTGAATCCGGCCAGTGCATTGGGCAAGCATCTTGGCCGTGGTCTGAATCCCGCCAATACAGGCTGCTCGTGTCTCATGGGGGAAAGCACTGTCGCTGTCATGGTTTGTGGCCATGTCGGGAGCCTCAAAATCCTCCCAGACCAGGAGCTTCTCAAGCACAAATCTTCTGGATCTTTCTCCCTCACCGCGGGGCAGTGATTGTGTATCACAGCAAACCACTCCATCCGCGGACATGGCCTGTTGCCCAGGCCATGGCAGTTTCGGAGTTTCAATGGATTAAATCTTTCTCGGCCAAGGCAGTGCCGTTGTATTCTGGCAACAGCTTTTGAGCTTTGCCAAGGTTTTGGCGTGGAGCTGGGCAGCGCAGGCAAGGGCGCATTGTGTTTTGCTTCTCTGCCTGGTCAGAATTTGCCTAGAGAACACACAGCTTTTTCGCTGCTGTTCTGCCAGGTGGCTGGGCGAAATTTGCTGCTGGGAGCAAGGCCCAGATTTTGCTACCAATCTGCAGATGCATTCTGTTTGCCAGGGTTGCCGTGCAAATCTAGGCGTTGTGCAGATAATGCAAACACGAACACACTAGATAGAGAAGCAAAATATAATGTAGTAGACTCAGTAGACAAATACACGAATATACCCGTACCTAAAGCATACATGTAGATGCATGCATGCATCCAGTTGTCAAAAAATGCATGAATGCATGAATGCATGCGTACATACATACGGCGACCGTATGTATGTACATAGATGCCTACATGTGCATGCTCACGTAGTGCTCCATGCCCTTCGCCGACTTGTATTGCTTCTATCGTTTACACATGTCCGTCGGCTCGAATGATTTTGGGGTTGAGTACGCCGGACCTCCGAAGGCGAAGCTCTGAAAGCGATCTCGATCCAAGACAGCCGAGGCTTTCGGGTGCAGCCGGGGCCGGGCCTTCTCCGAAGCATGTCCTGGACATTGGGGCCTACGGCATGCCGGCCGCAAGTCCATTGCAAGTCGAGACGTATCAAACACTGGTATGGAGCTCACCTAAGCTTCTCTATGAGCCACGAGAATCCTCAGGATCCTGGTTTTTTCAAAAACCAATCGCTTCGTGTTCCACTCAGGCGGTGGGTCAGCTCTGCACCTCGCAATGGCTCTGCCGGGTAGCTGCCTTAGTGGTGGGGGTTCGGGTGTTTCTCATGGCAACTTTCGTTCCTTGTGATCCCAAATTGTTCGCCAACCAGGCTGCCGTCAGGCGCCACCCTTTCATATTCCCGAACTCGTGCTCTCGCGGGTAGTGTCCTGCAGCCGTGCCATATGTGCTCTGGGTATCAATCAATCGTGCTGCCGCCACGGTGCGGAACATTTGGCCTCATGGGTTGGTGTCAGGGGTGCTTGGACATGTTCTTTCACGTATCGGGTTTGGACGCCTGGGTGCTCTTTCAGTGCTCTTCGCCTGTCTGGAAATCTACGCATTTGATTATGTAGCCTTTGGCCTTGTCCGTCTCCAGATCTGTTTTCAATATCCTGCTGCACCCACATGTCTTCACGAGATGACTGCTTACATGGACTCAAGGCGGTTTGCTTGAGTGCTTTGCACTTCTTCGACAGGAGTTCATGTGACCGCTGTCGAGCTGGATCCCGTGCAGCTTGGCATAGGAACGCCTTCTTCTAATGGTTGGGGACGGCACTCCTCTGATGAAACAGAGCTGCAGAGATCTGCTGGGAGCGTCTCTTCGCCTGCAAGGATGGTTGCTTTGGCGCGCTGCTTCTTGGGCTTTGCTGGCTCCCAATCTGCGTTTTCATCGTTGCACTGCCAGGGTGTTCGCTGGGTCGGATGTTTCTAGTGGGGCCAGTCGGTGCTCAAAAGAACTTTAGACACATGACTTCTGTTTTAGGGGTGGGTTCGGAAGCGGAGCAAGAAGCCTACATCTTGAGCTCCACAAAGTTCCTGATTGAAGGAAGCGGGAGTCTGCGGGAGTGTAATACCGTACAAGCCGACGACGCCTAGACAAATCTAGGCCCAAGCCGCAACGTCCTGAACAGCATGAGTGGGTGCTAGATAGCAGGATTTGATGTTTGTTGGAGCCCGTCTGTGCGATTTTGTATCAAGCACTTCTCTCTAGAGCTGTGAGCAGACCCGGTGGAGAAACATATGGTTGTCGCCGTTGAAGGCACTGCCCTTCTGGCAGGCCGCTTTACCTGATCGTGACAATGTCAGCTCTCTCGCACTTTCCTTTGTGTGGTGTAGCACCTGAGTATCAGAGTCACCAAGTCGGCTGCAGCTCAGGAGTCGGCGACCGCGTGCGTGTGCTTCCAGGTCACACCAGGCAACCTGCCAGCACAGGCGTCCGAGGCAAAATCCCTCCCCGGAACGTAGGCAGATTGCCCGTTATGCGCGTAGCAGGAAGGTTCCCGTTTCTTGTGGAGTGAGCGTAGATGCATCGCGACATAGCACTATGAAAGGATCAAGAGATTCTAGTTAAGCAAACATGAACCCGCACCAGAGATGAATATCCTGATGAGGTGGTACTTTCTATCCACATCTCGATGTATGCTCGTTCATGTCACTACTGTCGCTGCTACCGTTAGTTCTGTCGACTAACGCCATTCCCTTCATGCCGAAGATGGTGTATCTTAGCCGCGGCTGTGTGTGGTTACCTGAAGCTCCTCGGCCCTGAGAGGCCCTGAACCTTCGTTTGTTTGCCCAGGCTTCGGCTGCCAGGGCTCCAGGGACAGCGCTTTTCTGGCATCTTCGCTGATGTTTGGGGTGCCCAGTACGCAGACGTCCTCGCTGCTCGGCTTCAAGCCACAGCTGGCTGCTGGCTTCGGGGTTGAGACAGGTTTTCGGACAGTCTGAGGCTAGAGTTCTGCATAGGGAGGGGGAGATGGAGCCTTCGTGTCTCTTGCTGCTCCGTATTTTATGAATTATGAATAGCATGTCGCAGTGCTGGTTCCCTGACGGAGGCCGCCTGATTTTGTAAAGTCGGTAGCCAGACTCCAACAAGTGCGCTTCTTGCAAGATCTGTTTGGCTTCTCTGTTTGCAACTCCCCAATTCGATCTGCGCAGTCGATGCGCGACCCAAATCTGTTATCGGCATTCCGCACTAATGCTGACCAGCGCTTCAATATGGGAGCCGCCGGGGTTTGGCTGATCTGAGCCTGAGGCACTAATTCATCGACATGCGCTGCTGTCGACTGGATCGGTGCTCATCGCGGACGCTGGACAAGCACCTACTTCCGACCTCTGACAACAGATGATGGGTCCCAGCTCTAGGGCTCTTTTCCGAGGAAACCGCAAGTATGACTGCCTCATCACCTAAGCCTCATCTACCTCCGAAAACCGACCGAAGGTCAATCAAGACCTATAAGCTTTGCCTCCGATCTGCAAGGACAATGTTCTTCGCACGGGAGCGGCCGAGTTCGCGGGGCGTGTGACTGGCCAAGGCCAAGTTGCTAAGCTCAGTTCAAAGGCTCGCTTACGTTTCTCATCCATTTTCTCGCCAACGTTCTAGTCTTTGTCCTCTGCACCGGCAGCCCTGAGCTGTTTGCTGCCTCTCTCAGCCTCTCTCCTTTGTTGTTGATGTGGGCTTTCTTTGTGCCTTCGCTGCTGTTACCAGTGCTGGTTTCATTCTTGCGTGTTGCAGCAGTTGTCAACTATGCTTGCTGACGACACAGGAAGGGTTCGTTGTGAATGTTGACGTGACGTTAATCAATGCTGGCGTGAAGGATGATGCCTACAATCCTGAAGGCGAACGCGGTGCAAGTCCTGGTCTCATCTCGTCCCGCTTTGGTGAAGTACTCCTTGGCACCAAAACGTGCCACAGAAGTCGCGCGCGTGTGACTAACACATCTCCGAGAAACTCCAGCTTTGGAGCTTCGTCGGAACTGTTTGAGTTCTTTGCATCAGTTCGACAGCACCCTTGAGCTGCGAAGCAGTAGTAGTGATGGCGATCATGGTTGTCATGATGATGTTGGTGTTGATGATGACGACGGTGATGATGATGATGATGATGATGATGTTGCAGGAGGCTGGATATCTGCACCTAGTTCTGGCTTGTTCCGGGGTGTGGGGGTGGGGGTGGGGGTGGGTGTGTGTGTGTGTGTGTGTGTGTGTGCGTGCGTGCGTGCGTGCGTGCGTGCGTGCGTGCGTGCGTGCGTGCGTGCGTGCGTGCGGGTGGGTGTGTGTGTGTGCGGGTGGGTGTGTGTGTGTGTGTGTGTGTGTGTGTGTGTGAGTGTGTGTGTGTGTGTGTGTGCACGTGTCAGTAAGTTTGACTTTCAGTGTGTTTGAATGTCGGCACGTCGGCAAGTGTTGTGTGTTGTGCGTGCGGCGTGGTGAGTGGGTGTGTAGCTGTGTGGGTGTGTGGCGGCGTGGGTGCGTGGGTGCGTGCGTGTGTGGCGGGTGTGTGCGTGTGTGTGTGTGTGTGTCAACGAAGCTCCAGTCACACATCAGGATATGGTCGGCGGACGCCTTGACCACGTACCTGCATATTGCTTGTGAAACCGTCTACAGAAGTCGCTGTGCGCTGGTTATCGTGGATATTTTACCTGGATGTGTGGTTGTCATTGGATATGGCAGGGGCTAAGCCAAGAACCCCATCTTGCAGCAGCTTTGCATTGCCTGTGTGTCTGTGTGTCTGTGTGTCTGTGTGTCTGTGTGCCGGTGTGCCGGTGTGCCTGTGTGCCTGTGAGTCGGTGTGTCTGTGTGTCTGTGTGTCTGTGTCTCCGTGTGTCTCTGTGTCTCTGTGTCTGTGTGTCTGTGTGTCTGTCTGTCTGTCTGTCTGTCTGTCTGTCCGTCTGTCTGTCTGTCTGTCTGTCTGTTTGCCTGCCTGCCTGCCTGCCTGCCTGGCTGGCTGTCTGTCTGTCTGCCTGCCTGCCTGCCTGCCTGGCTGGCTGGCTGGCTGTCTGTCTGTCTGTCCGTATCTCTGTGTGCACGCGTGGGAGGGGCCGGGGGCGCATGCATGTATGTATGTTTGCATGCTACGATATGCGTGAGATCAAATGCGTATGTGTGTGCATAATTCTGTACAGAGGTGCAACGTAGCAAGTGAGACATATGCATATGCACAACGCATGCCGGCATGTTGGTGTGCGTATGGATGGAAAGCTGGATGGATGTACGGATGGATGAATGGACGGACGGACGGACAGATCGAAGAATGGATCCGCGGATGTGTGGATGGGTGGACAGACGGACGGATAGATGGACGGATGGACGGAAGGATGGGTGGAGACGTGTATGGAAGTGTAAATGCATGACTGTGCGTCAACACACGCAAATAGGCAGATCGGTCATGCGGTGGCCTACAGGGCTCAGTGGCTAGGGGTCCCTACTCAGGCATTCACATCTTCCAATCATGCGCAACACGGTTCTGTTCAGGATGTGGTGCGGGGTCTGAAGTTCATGCACACGTACCCAACACAACACTCCGGCTTCACGCCCCGGCACAAGTGTCAAAACATCCACGCTTTGGTCACCAAGGAGTACACATCCCGAACATGTTTGAATTGGGAACGCGTGCAAATCAGGCACAAAGGCAGACCTCCCGATGCTTTTGGCTTTATACAGCATCGCAAAACCAACCAAGTTGGAACATAGAGTTTGCTAACTCGCAATGCTCGTCAGCCATCAACCGTTGGCAGGATCAGGACATGGCTACGACAATACCAATCTTCGAAATAGCTACCTAATGTAGGCCCTTGATCACTAGGTGCTTTTCAAGTCCCCAATAATCACTGATCCCTATTGCGGGAGAGAATCCAAATCAGGGGTCTACATGACCCAAATCCATCTTAGCATTGGTCTGGGAAGTTCAGGCAGCAGCATGCAAAAGTGTGTGAGATTTCTTTTCTAAATGGCTTAGCCCAGCTTTCTGTTGGAGACCAGGCGCTGAATCTCGTAGAAATTCCTGTATAAGATGAGACACTTTAGCTCATCAAGAGGTATTGGGCTAAAATCGGGACTTCATGATCATAGGTACTTCCGAAGATGATTGCTGGAACGGTTTTGGCATCTGATTCCATCAAGGTCTTATGTTACATCCCCGGAGTCAACCTATAAAATCGACAGGTTTAGGGCTTATCGCGGTTTATAACCTGAAACCAGAGAGCAGCAGTGCATGGTACTTTGGCTAGCCTCGGATTTGGAATATCTAGGACTTCGGGTACAATACGCGAGTAGTGCCGGAACGATACTCGGCTTATCCGGACAGCTCCACCGGATAAATCAAAGCTCCAGGGTTGCGGTTTTAGGGCCTAGGGCTCACGGGTTTCGGGTTAGAGGTGATGTCTGAATGCTGCCGCTGGGCATGGCATCTTTATGTGGTCGCCCGGTTTTGAGGGAATTCCCCTGCCTCTTACTGGGATAAAGTGCACCAGACACACGCATCTGCGGAGGATCAGGTGGGGACCACACGAATACATCATAGCACCCTGAGTAGCGTAATACAGTATTAGCCATAGCACCACCCTAAACCCTAAACCCTAAACCCTAAACCAAACCCTAAACCGCCGACTTGCCAAGTCCCCCAGAAGACAAAATGGGAATCCAAGTCGCTGCATCGGCATTCAGCGTGCCGGTTCCTGCCTTCTTGAGACTTCGATCGGCTTGGCCAGCATTCTTGGCCATAGCTATGGCTTAAACCCTAAACCCTAAACCCTAAACCCTCTAGGGTTTTGTTCTTAGGGTTTAAGGGTTTAGGGCTTAGAGGTCAGGGTGCAAGGGTTTAGGGGCCGGCATTCTTGGCCATACCTATGGCTCTGGGGTTTAGAGATTAGGGTTCAAGAGTTTAGGGGTTTAAGGTTTCTTGGCCATAGCTATGGCTTCAGGGCTTAGAGGTTACGGTTTAAGGGTTTAGGGGGTTTAAGGTTTGAGGTTCAGAGGTCAAGGTTGCGGACTTAAGGCACTCGGCATCAATTTCGAGTTTAGGGCTTAGGATTTCACGGCCATTCATAGTTCAAGACATGTTGAAACTGAAACGTGGCTCATATCAAGCACCTCGGCCGTTAGCCCCCGACCTCGGGGCTTGAAGTCTAGGGTTTAGCGACTTAGGGCTAAAGTGGTGGTGAATTCCGAGTTTCGGGCTGCAGCCCTAATATAGGGGCCTAAAACATTACCTATACTATGCTTTTTTGGGGGGGTTCCTTCTTAGTAATAAAGTAAAATCATATATCCCCAATGCCAAACCATATTCTGATTTTTTTTGGGGGGGTGGGTCCTTCTTATAAATAAAGGTAAGCTCATATACCCTAAAACCATATTCTAATGATTAAGGCCCCTACCCATAGGCCCCTTAGTCGTCCCTTTTTGGGATTACCTAATAGGATCCTAAAACCCTAAACCCTAAACCCACCAAAAAAAGAACTACCATGGGGCCTATGGGTACATTACACACTTTATCGACGAGATCTCCATGCCATTTTTCCCTGGAGCCAAGAGGCAGCGGCTAGAGCACGCAGTGGGCTGGGCCTACCTTGAGCTGCTAAGACCTACTTGTTGTAGGGTGTAGGGTTTAGGGTTTAGGGTTTAGGGCCCCTTTCAATTCCTTCGTGTGGTTATAGTAAGAACCTACCAAAAGTACGTCATGGTGCTGACGGATCATAGCCTGCAAAGGTGCGGAGTCCAGCACTTGGATCTTGGGTTAGACCTGAAACCGCAACCTTCAATGGGAAAACCCGAACCAGCAAATGTAAAAACTGCGCAGTAAATTTCCAACACCAATAAGCCCCTGAAACCCACAATCAAATTACAATCTAGAATAGAACCTTGCGGTTAAAGTCATACCACAAAGTGAAAACTCATTCCTAAGCCCAGTCCCTAAACCTAAACCCCATAAGCCCCAAAAAGCCCCGAGAACAGCCCCAAAATAACCCCCCTAAAAGGCCTAAACAAGCCCTAAAAGCCCTACAAGCCCCCCAAATAAGAATCCTAAACCCTAAACCCTAAACCCTAAACCCTAAACCCTAAACCCTAAACCCTAAACAAGCCCTGAAAGCCCTAAAGGCCTCCAAAGAACTTAAAGCACTCAAGGCCACCTCGGTTGTGAGAAGGAGCTTGGGGGCAACCGTCTCGTCGTCGTCTGCCTGTGCCGCCTGGGGTTCAGGGTTTAGGGTTTAGGGGCTTAGGATTTACGGTCCAGGAGTTTAGGGGTTTAGGGTTTACGGTCCAGGAGTTTAGGGGTTCAGGATTTAGGGTCCAGGGGTTTAGGGGGTTTAGGGGTTCAGGATTTAGGGTCTAGGGATTTAAACTTTAGGGGTTTAGGGGTTTAGGGGTATAATAAGGGTTTCAGGGTTGAGGGTTTCGTGGTTTAGGTTTGGGTTTCGGGCTTCAGGGTTGAGGGTCTTGGAGCGAGTCCTGAAGACTTGCAACCGCTAGAGCAGGGTGAGCACAGGGGTTTAAACGTCAAGGGGCGCCAAACCCCTAAACCCATAGACCCTAAACCCTAAACCCTAAACCCTAAACCCTAAGCCCCAAACCCCTAAACCCATAGACCCTAAACCCCTAAACCCCTAAACCCATAAAGCCATAAAGCCCTGAACCCCTAAGCCTCGGAACTCCTAAACCCCTAAACCCCAAAACCCTAAACCCATAAAGACCTAAACCCCAAAACCCCGGAACCCCTAAAACCCTAAAGCCCTAAACCCCTAAACCCTGCAAACCCTAAACCCTGGACAAGTAGCCTAGGGTTTAGGATCTTTTTAGTTTAGGGTTTCGGTAAACCCTGAACCCCTCACCCTCAACCCTGAACTTAGAGTTTGGGCTTTCGGGTTCAGGGCTTAGGGTTTAGCGCCCTAAGCCCTAAAACAGCAGCTCTTGCTGGGAGCCCAGGGACGGCAATCTCCGAAAGCTGCCGGAGGTGGATCAAAGGCCCGCTAACAGCCTTCGACTTAGGGCGTCGCGCTTGCGGTTTTAGGGCTTAAGAATTGCGATTCTGGGGTTCCGGGTTTTAGGGCTTGGAGTTTGGGGTCATGCTTTCAAGGATTTGAGGAGTTCTAGTGTTTGTTTCGGTGTTCGGTTTCGGGCGTCGAGGCTCCTGGAGGGTTCAATCGACTCTCGCAGAGAGCCCAATACCCCTTAATTAAACAATATACCTTAAACTAGAAGGGGCTATGATTTAAGGTAGATTCCTTAATTCAGGGGTATTGGGCTCTCTAGGCTTGTAGCTGCTCACTGCAGCAAAACCCTACAACTTGCAGCGCAGGTCAAAACCCGAGTCCCATCAACCTTGCAAGCAGCAACTCCTCAACCCTAATCTTAAACCCTAGACCCTAGACCCTAAACCCTAAACCCTAGACCCTAAACCCTAAACCCTAATCCCTAATCCTAAACCCTAGACCCTAAACCCTAGACCCTAAACCGTAGATCCTAGTCCTAAACCCTAATCCCTGAACCCTAAACCCTAGTCCTAAACCCTAAACCCTAAACCCTAATCCCTAAACCCTAGACCCTAGTCCTAAACCCTAATCCCTGAAACGTAATCCTAAACCCTAGACCGACCCTAAACCCGTAGGTGGAAAGCCTCAGACCCCAAGCACAGAAAGCCCCAAAGTTGTACTTGATCAGCCCCAAAGCCCCGAACAGTCTCGAAGCTCCAAAACCTTCCAGATTTCCAATGAAGTGCTACTAGGAACTGCGATGTATTCCCTAACCCCAAACCTGTAGAATCTCGGTCAGAAATCCCGTCAAGAACTGCTCCCCCATCCAATTGGAACAAGGACTCTGACTCTGATGGCACATTGTTAAAACGATTCCGACCTGCGGTATAGTAAACCCCTAAACTCAAAGCCCCAAGCCCTAAACCTAACGCCCTGAACCTCCAACCCTAAGCCCTAAAGCCCTCAACCCTAAACCCAAAGCCCTCAACCCTAAACCTACTTAGCCCACAACCCTCAGCCCCAAACAAACCTAATCAGCCCTAAACCCTCAAAGCCCTAAACACTAAGCCCTAGACAGAGAACCCAGTACACCGTATCTAAGGAATATACCTGAAACCATAATATTAAGGTCCCTTATAGTTTAAGGTATACTCCTTAATTAAGGGGTACTGCTAATCATATTTATACTATAAAGGGCCCCCAAAACCCTATTTTCATTGTTAAGGCCCCTGAACTACCCTTAAAGGAACCCTTTGAAAGGAACCCT